TTCTCTTTCTCTTCTATTTCTTCTTTGCATTGCACCTGCATACCATCAAACCTTGTTTTTTCCTTCATTCAATCTCATCATCAACTTCCCACTGTCTATGTAACTTTGTTACACACACATTCCCATTTTTAAATTACCAAAATGCCTTTTGTGGGACCCAAAAGATTCAAGATTTCATGCCAAAATGATATGCTTAAGCATGGGATTGTTAAATCATCATCATGTTTCTTCATCTCAAACTACAAATGTAATCTCATATGAAACCAAAAACCCAGGAAAGTGTCATCACGCAAAAAAAAAAAAAAAAACTAAGCCTGCAAAATTTCACTTTCTTTATATATATTTTTTCTATCTTTTTAACTTTTATAAGCTCTTTTAACAGTAACTAATCGCATGGTATACATATTTATTTATTAAGATATGAAAATAATCATTATCTTTTCCGGATATATGAAGATGAATTTTCCAGCAATTATCCTATATTTCTCATTTTCAAAATCATCCATGCAGTGCCTCCGGTGGCGATGGAGGTGCCGACTGTGTCGCCAATAGTGAAAGTTTCGACAGTGGCATCAGGAGAGCCTAATTGATGACCATCTTTGAACTTTTAGGATTATTGATCTTGGAATCTTGGGTCAGTAAAGAAACACCATATGGATTTGAGGATGGAAGTCTTTGTGTATGAAAAACCGATATTTCTAAAACTAATAATAAAAAAACCATTTAGCATTTTGTAAAATGTATATAAATTGAAGAAAATTTACTGAAAGTAGATAGATAACTCACCCGCATGTTTGTTTTTTGACTTTATCATTGGTGAGACCGTCTTCTAATCACATAAGATCAAATTTGCTTGGGAGTAGCAACTGCAAGAAAAATGGAACAAATATTGATTTATTATTATCTTAATTAATCATATTTATTTCCTCTTATCAAAATCAAATTTCTTACAGTTTTCATGAGCAACTGATGATTAACAATTATGTATGCTAGAAAAAATTGATCCTAAAGCAACATATAATCCAATCTTTAAATAACTAAGTACCGATTCACAATACTGCAACTATGATCCAAAAATCATTCCCTATGAGATGTCCTTAAATAACTTCGAATCAGTTAAAATCTAACATTTTAGCATAAAAAATACTTACTTTTCAAGAACTAACCTTTTGAACCTCCACCTCCATGCAGTTGAAGATCATTTAAAAACAACAGCTTCTTTGCTTCCTAGACGTTTGTTGCTGTGGTGGCAGAGGCTGGCGGATACAATGTTTACATTTGATTGAATAACATTAGTAACCATTTTCCCTCATTGGATTCTTGATTCCAGGGAAATCCATGAAATTAGTAATTCATCCTTATTTTCATTCCTTGTAAGGTATCTCTTAAATGGGATAAACTAATATATAAGCTTCTATTCTAATAACAATGTTTCAGTCAGGTAATTTGAGAATCAATCATCAAATAACCCTAATAGGCCTCATGTTTGTTAGGTCAATGCTGCAAAAAAAAGAGCTCTTAGTTACCTTTGTTCACAAAAACGTTCAGGTGAGGATCCAAAAAGGCATTATAACTATACATGGGGACTGATTCAACTTCCTTTCAACCTTCGCCAACAGCAACATGGTTGTGGTGATGGTGTTCAGAGTGGTGGAGGTGTTCAGGATGGTGTTGGTCAAAACAGAAAAAAGAAAATCAAAAACCAAAAATATAAGAAACATAGATTAGCAAACACACTACTAACACTCATTTAAAAAATTACGGGATCTTTTCCTGTACGGGTCTCAAAGAACAAAATAGAATCGGGGGTCTCAAAGAACAAAATAAAATCGGGTTTTCGTTCCTTGCTAGGTATGTGGATCTAAAAGAACACTCATGTAATATATGATTCAATCTTTTTATCAGACAATGACCAACAAATCCATCTCTTTATCCAAAACCCTAAGCGAGCATATATATATATATATATATATATATATATATATATATATATATATATATATATAGAGAGAGAGAGAGAGAGAGAGAGAGAAACCTTACTCATTTGATCGCGATTGGTAATAATTTATCCTGTTTACAAACATTTGAATACCTTAGGCTTAGTTTCCCACTTAGATGACTCCTAATGTGTGGACTCGCCATACTGACGACGTCAATGGTGGTGGTGGTGGTGACGACCAAGGTTCTTTGAGTGAGAACAAATATATTCTTCACGAAGCGTGTGAAACTTTTGAAGGGATGGTGGGGGAAGAGGGAGTACGGGAAAAAGCTTTCAATCACAATGCAAAGAACTCATGGATTTCTTTAGGAAGCGTGTGAGAGAGTTTTGAAGAGACAGTGGAGAGAGAGAGAGTACGGGAGAAGCATTGAAGCATGGAACAAAGTCTTCAAGCTACAGTGAAAAACACGATGTGCTCTTATCTAAAATGTTTAACATTTTGACAAATGTTAATGTTAATAATGTTTACAATACAGACCTCTTACAGCTGCCACCTAATCATCTTTATGTTTACTCTTTCACATTGTTTAAATTTATTGACATTCAAAATTTGCTATCATTTATATATGATTAAACTGTACAAATGGTCCCTATGGTTTGCTAAAAATTGTCACTTTTATCCAAAAAGATTTGGACTAGCACCATAGGTCCAAAGTTTTCATTTTGTTGCGAGTTTGGTCCAATTTACTTCAAACTTTTTTGTAATGATGATTTTACCCTTGTTTTTTGCTTTTTCAGTTTTTTATTGAAATATTTTATTGATTAAAAAGAAAGTAAAAAAATACTTCCTCTCTCTCTCTCTCTCTCTCTCTATATATATATATATATATATATATATATATATATATATATATATATTTCATATCTTCTTGGCCTAGTTTTCACACACATATGCTGCCTAAAATCAGATCTGTTAAAAACCTTTTTTCGGAGTCGCCACCCTTACGTTGGAGTCGCCACCATCTCGTCTCTGTCCCCCCACTTTTGTTTTCATCAGAAAAAAAAAAATAACTATGGTTTTTATTCACATATATGTGGTTCATCAGACCCACCTTATCGTCGCTCACTGGTTGTTAGAACTTAGTATATCTTCTCCGATAACTGTGACAAGATCAAGCTGATGACTACAAACCTTAAATGTTCAGATCTCGCTGGCTAAAACGCTAGACCTTTCCGATCTCAGTTCTTTCTTTGTCGGTAGCAGTGAAGAGGTCAACGTGACAAAGGCTTTCAAATCGGAGGGTTTTCAGATGAGTATTCGAGATCGAAGGGTTCTCAAAGAGGTTCAAAAGCGGTGTCGATGTTGAAACAGTGCAGATCTAGAAATCTTTCTCATTAGAAAATACTGATGAAGACGGTCGAAGGCTCCACGACTCTGACAAAGGGTTGCAGTCATCTTAAACGACTTGAGAAAGAGGATTATGACTCCCTCCTTAATGACTGCCATTTATTTATCTTTCTCTTTCCAGATCTGATATGGCGAGCTACAGTGAAGATAAAGGATGACATAGATCAGTATCGACGGTGGTTTCCAACAGAAATGGTAGCGGTAGTGGTGGTTTTCGATTATACTTTTTAGATATGAGGTTTTCAAGGAGATGGTGGTGGTGTTGACTTGCGGTGGTCGTATAGGCTAGATGCGTTGACATGTCGTGGTGGTTGTGACGTTCATCATTTACGGTGGTGGCGTTTATCTTTTCCAGCGGTAGTCTTCAGACTTTCCAGTGTTCTTGTTAGAGAGAGAGAGAGAGAGAGAGAGAGAGATTGCATATTTTATTTATTTATTTTTATTTCTTTATAAAAAATTATAAAAATAAAATAGAAAAGACAATTTTATTATTATTATTTTTTTGTAAACATAAAATATTAAATAGATAAAAAAAAAAAAGACAAAATTGCAAATTTGGTCCCTGTGGTATGTCCAAACTAGCATGTTTGGTCCAAAATGGGTTTGGCTTGCAAAGATGGTCCAATAGTTTCTATTTGTTGCGAGTTTAGTCCAATGGCTTAACAGCCGTTACCAAGCTCCCGTTAATTTACCCATGCCCCTCTCACTTAAGGGTATTTTAGTCCATTCATCTAGCCCCTTTATTATTTTATTATTATTTAGTCCATAAAAAGACTACAACGTATCTATTCTCGTCTCCAGCAACAAGCCCTAACTGTCACTCCCTCTCTAATTTCATCTTCTCCATCGATCACCCCCCTGTGATTTCATCTTCTCCATCGACAATGGTGATGTGCGTCTGCAGAAAGTGGGCGATAGTTCGGACATCGTGGACAGATAACAACCCAGGGCGCCGATTTTGGGGATGTCCTAACTCGGTAAGTGTGTTAAACTTTATTTTGAATACTACTCCCTGATGATCTAATGTTTCTTTCTTCTTTTTTTCAAGAATTCATCATGTGGGTTTATTGGGTGGTATGATGAACCCATGTGTGCTCGTTCCAAAGTTATAATACCAGGGCTGCTTAGGACAATCAATAAGCTACGAAAAGCAATGGATGATACAAAAGAACAAGCAAGCAAGCATGAAAAAGCAATGGAGAAGATCAAAGAACAAGCAACTATGTTGAAGTATTACCTAGTCTATAGTTGGATTTTTTTTGTTGTTGTGTTGGTGTTCTTGTTGTAAGTCCACAGGTTGATTGTGGTTATCTTTTGTAATAGGATAGGGGTATATGTGTCTGGTTTAAGTTTTTTTTTGCTAATGTGGAACATTGTAATGCAAAGTAATGGTTAATGAAAATTTGGTATCTATTGACCAATTATGGATTTGTTCTATTGTTCATACATAACCTTCTAAAGATAACATATAATGCATCCATATGTATTTAACACAAAAGCATACTAAAGACATAATACCTATTACCATCTTCAAAATACATGTCATAAGTTAATTGAAAACAAAGTTATTGCAACAAACGACATCCTGCATCTAGGAATCAAACCAAAGTTGTTCAATACAGTCAAACCAAAAGATAAAACCAACATAGACCATCAAGTCCCTCCCTGACCTTTGCATGTCCTGGAGTTGTGCCCTTTGTTTCCACACTTACTACAAGTCACACTAACAAACTTTCTTGTTAGTTTCCCACCACCATGTGGACCATGACCATGAATCTCACTGGGACCAACATCTGACCTTTGACTCTGACTTTGACTCTTGCTTTGACTTTTCTCCTCCATGGATTGCCTTCTCTTCCTCTTGGGTCTCCCAGGTTGATTACGGTGTGGGGGAGGTGTGATCTGCATTGGACACTCACTTCTAGGCCACATTGCCCGACCTTTAATTGGTTCCACCTTGTACCCATATGCAGTTTTCCAAGTTTGTAGCCAGTGCACCTTGTGGACATAAGTATGGAGCTCTTGTACACACTCACCATGATCTGCTTTGTTATACAACACAGAAATCACATGTCTGCAAGGGATACCTGTTAATTCCCATTTCCTGCAGCTGCATACCCTTTCATGCATATCAACAACATGTTGATCATTCCATGGGCCTTTGACTTGGTATTTTTCATCACCACACCATTCTGCAATGTACTGAGTAGCAGCTGCTTCATTCTTCTCCATGATCTTTGTTGCTATTGGGGTGAGTGGGCCTAAACACTTTTGCTGCACCCTGAGGACATTGCATATCCTCTTCATCATATATTCCCTAATAAACTCCAAACAGCTAATAATTGGTTTGTCTCTCCCATCAACTAGCTTGCCATTAAACACCTCACAAAGGTTGTTTAACAGCATGTCTGTGGTTGCTCTCCCTGTATAGAAAAGGGTAAAAGTGTCATAATGTTATGTGAAGGGTAAAATGGTAAAAGGGTAAAAGTGTCATAATGTTATGTGAAGGGTAAAAGGGTCATAATGTTATGTGAAGGGTAAAATGGTAAAAGGGTAAAAGTGTCATAATGTTATGTGAATGGTAAAATGGTAAAAGGGTAAAAGGGTCATAATAGCTTACCTGTGAAATGGCTTTTTGCCCAATGTTGTGGTGGTATTGACTTCAACCATTCATATGCTGATTTGTCAAATAAACTGAATTGGTGCATGAAATGGTTAAACTCTGGCACTGTTGTAGCTGTGGCACAATCCCAAAGGTGATCTTTATATTCCTTAGTTCTCCATTGTTTCTTCATGTTCTCATGTATATGTCTGAGACAGAACCTATGCTCAGCACATGGGAACAATTGACTAACTGCTTGTAGCAAACCCTGGCAACAAATTACACATGATTAACAAAATAAACATTAAAAAAATAAATAAACAACCATTACCTTTTGTCTGTCACTAACAAAAGTGAAATTAGACATAGCATGTAGATCCAAGTCATCACCAAGACATTCAAGGAACCACTTCCAAGATTCGCAGTTTTCAATCTCTACAATGGCATATGCAAGTGGGTATATGCCATTGTTGGAATCTAATCCAACTGCAGTTAAGATCTGGCCTGGATAAGGGCCTTTCATATGAGCCCCATCTAGCCCCAAGAAATCTCTTAAACAAGCTTTGAATCCCTTCTTCATCCCCCTAGACAAACATAAATTCTTTTGAAACATCTTGAAGTGCAATTCACCAAATTAGATTCTGAAACATCTCCAAGTTCTAATTTGACTGTGGTATCAGGATTGGTTGACTGCAACTCAAGGATATAGTCTCTCAGAACTTCATACTGTTTTTTGTAATCACCCACTACAATCTTTTTTGCATCTGCTTTAGCTCTAAAAACTTTATGGATTGAGAAGCCCACTCCATACTTCTTCTGTAATTGTTCTTGGAGAGCTTTAACTGGGATAGTAGGGTTGGATTCTACTTGATCCATGATTTGTTTGGACATAAACTTCGCTGTTGCAGCTCTCACCTTCCTTGTATTCATACAAGTGTGTTTGTCTTCATATGTTTTAATGTACCAGCTGCTTGCATCTGTAGACCTCGAGGCATGTAACATCCAAGGACAAGAAGAATCTGCTTTTTCCTGACTTGTACCACCTTGTTTGTCCTTTTCTTTACTTTTCCCTTTACTTTTCCCTTTAATTTTCCCTTTACTTTTTTCAGCTTGGGTAGGTCCACCAACTCCATCATTAGTAAATGCCACAACTCCATTACATATGGCCCTCAATCTGGATTTGTCATTTTTTTTAAATGCAATATTCTTTTTTGTTTCCAATGCATGCATTTTGATTTTCTCTTTCAACTCCTGCTTACTGTTATACTTTTGACCTATTTTAAAATTACACTTATGAACCTCACCTAAAGAACAACTTTTTTCCTTACTTAGTTGTTTCAAAACTGCTCTTCTCTTCCTGTCCTGGTCAGAATCCTCATCCATGGAATCAAAAGCATCATTGTCAATGACATCTAACTCATCTGCTTCTTCATCACTCTCATGTTGTCTAGGATTCCTAGCCCTTTTATCTAAGAACTCTACTTCTGTATCAATGCTCATGTTAAAATCCCTCATGTCAACTTCAATATCTTCAATTACATTATCTTCATCCACCCAATAATCACTATCATCACTATCATCTTCCTGCTCTGTTTCACTTACATTTTCTTTTCCACTACTATCCATGTTAGACTGAGGTTGGTTTTCATCCATCTGAGCTTGGTTTTCTTCATCCATTTGAGGTTGGATTTCTTCATCCATCTGAGGTTCATTGACATCATGCATGTCAGTGCCATTGACTCCATCAACATTGCTTTGTAGTATTTTTTGGTAGAGTCCAATATCAAAATCAGTAGCTGCCTCAACAAAGTCTTTGGCTATCTGTTCAGTCTCACCAATATCATCAAAGTAAATTTTCTTACTGCAAGATGCCATCACTCCATCCTTGCTCATACCCCTTCTCCTATTATATCCAGGTGATAAGGATACGACTTGAACTATTTCATTAACTTGGATTTCAGGTTGGTTTGCTTGAGTGGGCACCACATCAACTAAATTATCAGTAGGTGTAGTCATCACAGGTGTTTCCTTTGATTGGTCATCAGGAGCTTCATCAATGTGTTGCACATCCTCATGTGGTTCATCTAACTGTACAAGGGTAACCTTGGTAACAGGCTTAGGATTCAAGAAATAGGTGAGTAGTCTTGTTTCACCATGCTCTGTGTATACCTTCATCACTTTGTGCTCACTGACATATTGAGAAAAGTTTGCAACATCTTGATCATTTCCTAAAGGGCGAAGACCAAAGTGGAAGTCTCCACCAGGCACAAGAAAATGGTAGTATATAACAGGAGGAACCCCATATCTAAAACCCTTCATGATTGCATCGAGCTCATGAACTGAAAACTCATCTATGTCTACCATGTCAACATAGTTTACAGTTCCATCAATGTAACGAACATCAGGGTACTTGGTGAACTCACCTCCATGGTACAACTTAATGGTAAACAATGTTGGGTGTCCATCTTCAAAACAAGAAAAAAAAACACCTCAGTTGGACTTACTTAAAAAAAATCAAGAAATCAAAAGATGAAAAAGGCCAAATTACGTACCATAAACAACCTTGGGGTTGAAGGGTGTGTTTAACAACCTTACATTCCACATTGTTATGTTCATCCACCGATAATCTCTACAAATCGCAGCTTAACTAACAGAACTGATTTTGTGTCTAGGGCTTTTATTGATCTTGGTAAAGAACGACGGTCTACTTTATTGAGGAGGAGACGAACTGCTTTTATTGAGCTTTAGCGGGAACGGTTACAGGGATTAATGGACTAAAATACCCTTAAGTGAGAGGGGCATGGGTAAATTAACGGGAGCTTGGTAACGGCTGTTAAGCCATTGGACTAAACTCGCAACAAATAGAGACTATTGGACCATCTTTGCAAGACAAACCCATTTTAGACCAAACATGCTAGTTTGGGCATACCACAGGGACCAAATTTGCAATTTTGTCTAAAAAAAAAAACTAAAAAGAGATAACAATAAGGGCAAATTCATCATTATGAAAAAGTTTAAAGCAAATTGGACCAAACCCGCTACAAAATAAAAACTTTGGACCTATGTTGTTAGTCCAAACCTTTTTGGATAAAAGTGGCAATTTTGATCATACCACAGGGACCATTTGTGCAGTTTGGTCTTTATATATCTCTTGAATCATAACCATAATGTCTTTAACTGTTTCCAGGAACTACTTGAGGCCAGGGTCGAGATAAATCTTCAACATAAAATCATTCATCCCCTTATTCTCGATCTCGAAAGATTAAACTATGACTGTTTGAAACTAATTGCAATGATTTTGGCTTTGAAGAGCCAAAAGTTGCCGCACCTTCCAACAACACCAAATGGAATCACAAATTGATTCCATTGTCATGATATGGATCTATGGTACTATCTCTCATCCCCTCCTTGAGATGCTTTTGAAAAAGTAAGTCTGGAAAGATCTTGAAACACTTTTTAGAGACAATGAAGACAACGAGCTTTGCAATATTACCATTGGTGAATCTACGATCACCAACTATTGTACCTGAATCAAAATCATTGTTGGCCTACTTGAAAACATTGATGCACCCGTCCCCGAAAAGAATCTGGTTAAATAAACGCTTAATGGTTTATCTCCAAAGTTTGATTATGTTGCAACTCTCATCCCTCATCGTTCTCCTCTTCTCGTTTTTCTAGAAACCCGATCGAAACAACAATCATATATGTAATTCTTCTTCACCCACCGAATTACTAAACTCCAATTTTAATTATCGGCGTGTCCATACCCATCATGCCCTAGGACTAGATGCCCATGCTACCATTGTAGGCAACGTTGTTACCATGCCTGTCGCTAGCCAAAACAACAGGCCTAACGTATACATCAACCTCCATCAAGCACACGTCCTCCTTTTGGTTTTCAGCCTAATCAACACGGACTCAGACATGCCTACTGGGCCTAATCTGGTGCTACTCCTCCATGGGCCTGTTCAAAAAAACGTTGCAATAGACTGGGTCGGTCTCGAAACGGTTCGTTCTTTTGCGGTCAGTCTCGAAGCGATCCGATCTTTTTTTTGGATCGGTTCCGTCTGGTTCTTTTTTCAGCTGTCTTTTCCGATCTGATTTTTCAGGGACCGGTTTCGGTATTTTTCGGTCCGGTCTCACGGTCTTTCCCTATGCCTTTTCAGTTCGGTTTTCTGGTATTTGTGGTCGGTTTTTGGGTTTTTCGGACCGGTTTCGGTATTTGTTGGTTTTTTTAGTTTTGGTTTTGAGTTTCTCCCTCAACAAATGTGTGATAACACCAAAATGATAGATTAAACTTTGTTAAAAATGATACATTAAAATTTAATAAAAGAAAAAAAATGAAATTAGATAGTGTGATTAAAAATTATGTAATTAACACAAAATTGATATATTTATAAACTTTGACTTCTGGTCTTTTTTGAGATGGTCTCAGATAGGTCTAGGTTTGGTCTTTTGTGTTGATTTCGGAACGGTCCGGTCCTTTTTGGGACCAGTCTTTGATGATCTCGAGTCGGTTTTATTTCGGTTTGGTCTTTTTTTATGACTAGTTTTTTACGGTCCAGTCTCGTCTTTTTTCAGGTTCGGTTCGAGACCGATCTTTTGTGCAGATCTACTTTGCAACAACGGTCTCAAGATCATGCTACTTCTCTTACATAAGGTTGAAAAGACACCTCTTTTGACTAATTAGACATCTTAATCATTAGTTTTAATAATTAAAGTATTTTTGGTTACTTTTAAGCAATCATTATATAATAATTATTTATTGGTTTTGATTTTTTGAATAATTATTTATTTACATTTAATTTAGAATGATTAACATTATTTTTATATTTATTTTCTACTTAAAAGCACCCTATTAATTTAGTAATGATTACATTTTAGTTATATATATATATATATATATATATATATATATATATATATATATATATATATATATATATATATATATATATATATATATATATAATATATATATATATACCTAACAACCTTATATAAGCTTAGGTACCTAACTCCATAATACTACATCAATTTGTATCATATTTACATTGTAATTGTCTAAGGTTATTAAACTTCAACCCCATAAACTTGATTACTTCCA